ACTTTGGTTCTTTAGCTCTTTTGAGTGACCTAGGCCGGCAAAGTTCACATTCAGGTATTATTTATAATTGTGGACCCTACTGAAATTGAATAAAAGTAGTAAGACGTCTACTCGGCTAATAGCATTAATAATAATATCAAAAACAAAACTACTGCTAATAATATTAATTACAACAATTTTTTTCAGTTGAAAACGTTTACTGTGTTAAACGCCAGTCATGCTGATGTTGCCAACTTTTCGAGTGAGTTTGGCGGTCTGCGACAATCTATAACCCTGAGCGACATTGCCTCCACAACTGGTGTCCAGTTGCATCGGCCAGTTGCCAGTTGCGAAAGCCAGGCTAAACTCTTGACTGCTGGGGATCTGGCCTCGATTGACGGTTCAGACTCGGTACCATCGAACAGCATCAAAAAGTCGACTCAAGCGGACTCTTTCGATGCTCAAACGGCTGCCAAGACGGCGGCTGCGTCACTGCCAGCCGCCAGACCGGACAGATTTGCTGTCGTCAGGGAGAACCCGATGGAGGAGTGCACTTTGATGACGACCCTCTCCGAGTCCAGTGTGCATGTGCCCAATCTGTCGAGTCGGTGTGAGCCGGCGCAGGTGAGAAGAGTAGAAAATCGAAAGTGGATTGTGAGTCCGCGGCGGTCGGCGCGACTGGTGGAGACGAGCCGACAGTACCACGACCCTGCGCTTCCGGCTCTTCACATTCCCTTGTCACCGTCTCTGCCGCTGGCGGACTACACAAGCTCGGCAGATGGCACACCTTTGCGCAGCGACCGGTTGGCACACGCAACCACGAGTCTGGGCATCGCTTCAGCCGGACTCGAGCAGATCTGCTCGTCGCCTCCACTTCGCCCGAGCCCCGTCGAGGCAGCGAGCACCGTTGAACAGATGACCTGTCAAGCTGTCGCTATGGCATCGAATCTGCTCTCATCACGACTGGGGCTGGGTGAAGCGCCATCTTCAGAGCCTGTTGCCGGGGCTGCAAACTTGCGGGCCGGAAGTTCGCCGGTTGGGGGGGCGGAGCAATTTGTCTGTCCTGGATACACGTCAGAACGGCAGACGACTGAGTCGTCGACGTTTGGTGGGCAAAATGAACTGACAGCGGAGCTGGAGGATCAGTTGCTTGACCAGTTGGCGGCACAAATCGGTCTTCTAGCCGGGCCCAAGAGACCGGGACGTCGGGTCTTGAACCGGCAGACGATGCAGGCCATTACATGTCAGCGTAAGTGGGCCATGTGGATCTGCTGTCTTTTGTCGATAAATAGACCTTTCAGACTGCCGGTAGATCAGTTTTCTTGACTCGTTAGCTTCAATTTGGTTGTGATGATGGTACCTTGCTCTGATGATGTTCGTCGTGTGATGGACCTTTTCACCGGAATCGAAGCAGACTACCTCGGAAACAGCATCGACATGAATCGACAGTTGGTCAAGAGTAATTCGCCGTCGTCTTCTGATGGAGTAGATCTTCGCATAGTTTCACCAAACACTTTCGGTGATAGATCAATCCTAGCTCGTTTAAGGCGATACGCTGTCTGATGATCGGATCTCTCCACAATGCTATGAGTAGAATGTATGCTTTCATTCTATTTCACACAGTCTTGCTTGCCTAAAGGGAAGCATTATCTCGGCTGAAGTTAATTGCATTTACGATATCATCTGCACTCGCCTCATTCGCATCCCCAACGAGACTGTAACCGGCGTTGTCGTGGCAGCACGAACGGTCTCGACACGTTGACCACCAAGCCCCACTGACCTTGGTTTACAGGGTAGATGCAACTTTCAGAAATGTTCAGGCATTTTTCGAAATCACATTTGTAGTTTAAACGATGAAAAGAGTAATTATTGGGTTTTTTATTAGTTTTACTAAAATTTTCTCTACTTACTCTATCGGCAAAGTCTAAGCAACAGAAAGGGTTAAACTTTCTGAAATGGGTGCAAATTATGTATACGGCATAACTAACGTATTTAACTTTATCTGTTGTTTTTATTTTTATTCTTATTTTGTTCACTTTCGAGTCGAATCCTTAAGTTTCAGCATGCCTGGATTGAGTTATTCTCGTTTTGTGTAACCTTAAAGTGAACACATATCGCTACTCCTCTTTCTATAGCAGCAAATGCACTATGCTGCTTTATGGTGACTAACCAAATGAAATAAAAATCTGTGCTTCCTTATCCTTGCAGTGAAATGATTAAACGATTTTCTACCGTCAACTTTCTGTAAAGTCGTTCTCCAGGCCTCGTATAAGAGTCTCACTGTGCTTGCCTGCTCCTGCCAAGGTGGAGAGAACAACGAGTAACATTAAGCATATACCAAATCAGAAAGATTTTTCACACCAAAATTGTTGGTAACACCGGTTTCACAATCACTAATAGCGATTTTAGCCTTAAGACTTAGAACATAAAGGTCAGATTGAGCACTGGAAATATTAATTGTACATAAAATTTCTTTAATTATCCTCACAATGCTCACTTTTTTAATTTAATATTTCAAGTAATAATCTCTTAAAGTGTTCTCGCCACTGTCTATTACATATTTATTGGGTTTGTCTGGAGTCGGCTGTCATTGGGACAGCCGACTTAAGACACTTGAGTTTTATTTTTCGGGTTCGATTAGAGTTTCGAGACTACCAGTCAATCAGTAATATGAGATGTTACCCACAATGATATGAGTAGATCTGGCGTTTCCAATGAATTTCACATTGCCTTGCTTTGCCAAAAGGTTGTTCTCATCCAGGAACCAGTGGACTGCAGTTTCGACCTCGCATTGGTCTTAGCAACAGCCCCAGCGGGAGTCGAACCGTGACAGTGCAGAATGGGAGCCACGTTGCCACGAGTGCCGTCGGGCCACAGGACAGATGTGAATTTCAGAGAAGGTCAGGCCTTTTACCATATCATATTCTTTGGTGAAATAGCAAGGCTATGTGAGATTCAATGGAAACGCCAGATCTACTCATAAAATTGTGGGTAAATTCGACTACCCGTCCTTCATCACATTAAATTAAATAGGTTGAATACATCTCATATTACTTGAGTTTTAGACATGCCTTCTGTGCTCTCTTGTGGAGAGATGGAGTTTTCTATCGTCCAACAGTCCTAACGGCCGGATTCTCTCAAGTCTTTGTCTGTATATGTCTATGTGTATGTGTGTGCATGGGTTTTTCTGATGGATAATATCATAGGTATTATAGATATTTCGTTAAGAAATCCTTGCCAATTCTCTACGAATAAACTTGCTCTCAAGGTTGCCATAAAGAGCTGTATCTTAGCATATACACTCATTCAAATGCCCAAGTATATCTTGTTAAATTTGTGAAAGAAGACGATGATTTCAGAAGGGATAATCTTTGATTGAGGCTATTTTCGAGACTTGATGTATGGGGACATTTAATAATTGTTTGTACAAGATACCTCATCTATGCGTGCTCTAACTTAGCTCCATTTGGATATGGATCATAGTGAGTGGGCACTATTATGGAATGTATAAATGTTGACATAGGTTTGTCCATGAATTGCACTATGAACTTTCTTTTCTCCGGTCTCTTTTTCGCACACCTCTTTAGACCACCTGCATTTGTGGATAAAGCGTACGAGAAAAACGACCTGTCTTATGTAAGTATTGTTCCAAACCGAAAGTCTCGGGAGTATGAATCAGTTCGAGGGTATATAAACATGAAGTTTTTATGACTAGAGTAATGGCCTTATTTCGTGTACCCAGAATGGACAATACTATTAAGTTCACCCTGAAACTATAAATGGATGCGTTGTTAATAAACAAGTCGGGCTAAGAAAGAAGCTATCATGAAAATTTAACAGGCCGTTTGCCCCGTCAACTAAGCTTTTAACCATGAGTCTCTAGTAACAAAATGTCAGATTAGAATCAGAAGTTAGTAGAAAACTTTGGCTAAAGGATGAATTGTTTATAAAATGGCAAAAAAATATGAGAATTATGGCAGAATCTAGTTGTTACCATCAAAGCACTCAAATAAAAAGTATACTAATAGATGAACGGCTATAAACAGTTGATATTCCTCACGGGTACGTCAAATTTTGACCGAAAATACTCCGAAGGTGTTCTTTTTAACTTAGCCTTCCGGTGAATACGTGAGACCACGAAATCGGAGGATATGACAAAGTAAAATGCTAAAATATTTATAATTAATTAGTTGGTTGCAAGTTTGGACACCAAGGTGATGCTTTTGAAAAAGTAGAGTGCATTCCAGTTAAAATTTTCCTCTTTCAGAAAGACCTATGAATCCCTCTTTGCAATTTTGCTTGATGAGCTAAACCAAATTATTGCCAGAGATCTTTTAGACCAACAAAGAGGTTTGGAAACATCATAAGACAGTTAATAGAATTATACCTCTGGACCTGTGCTGAAACCTAAATAGAGTATTAAAGCATTAAGAATGTATTTGTAGAGTTGTACAGAGGTCAGAAGGTGAACAATGATGAAGGTGAATGAGGAGGAGGAGGATAGAAGGACGAGGGGAAAAAGGGATCTGGAAAAGAGCGGCCAAAAGGCCACTAATGAATGGGATCTTGCGGATGTCTGACGTGGATAAGTGACCTTGGTTTGATGTCGCATTGTTTCTGCGATGGTCTGACCGACTGGTACCAAAAGAGCGGAGTAGCAGAGTGATGCACACCCACTAAGTGACACACGAAGATGCGCCAATTTGGCATTCATAATGATAGTTACTAGGTTGACGATTACGACGTTGTCATGGGGCGAGTAAATAAGAAGGAGCAAGGTTCGTTATTTTCAGAAATCGCTGCTATGAGAGATGACGTGGAGAGCAATGATGGCTCCCGATTGTGTGAACAGACCGCCTCAAGGATGGCAGGTGCCAAGTGGAGAATTATTCCAGTTTCATCCCAGCTTCTGATTGGTTTACAAAGGTCCCGATCTGATAGGTCCATAGGTCGGCTTGATGCTGTGGCGAAATTCTATTGGTTATTCCGAACAAAGAGTATGGTTAAGTGATGCTTAAGGGGGCAAGTGTAAAGCTTAAGTGTTAGAGTTTCATATGGATAGGTCACTTCAAGTCCATTGCAACAAGCATTCTGGAAAAGTGAGGATGAACAGGTGATTCGAGGGGGTTTGTGGGCTCTTGTTAAATGCAAATTGAATTAGAAAAGTTTGATCAATTGCGCATGATTGTGTATACATAAAATACATGTGAATCTATGATTAATGTAGCTTTACACTAGCCTGGTTCTTGTCAGCAAATCGGCTGTAACTACTCATTCGACTGAATTGCCCTTAGGGCAAGATAATACTCATCCTAGTTACACAGAAAAATTGGATTTCGAAGCATTCCTCAGTGATAGATTGAGAGTCGATTTATCGTTTGTAATGAAAAGTTGGTTGGATAGAATTCGTGAAATGATCCCATCGGAAATCTAAGGAAGATTGTCGTGCAGGC